TCTATGGTCTGCCAAAGATCCATAAACCGAACGTTTCATTGCGGCCAATCGTAGCCCTAAAAGGCAGCCCCACCTATAATTTGGCAAAATGGATGTACTCGAAACTAAAATTCCTCTGAGAAAACTCTGATGCCTCAGTCCATTCAGCCTCCCAATTCCTGGCAGAACTCCATTGCCGAAGGATTCAATCGGACGAAATGATGGTTTCCTTTGATGTGACATCACTATTTACACCCACTCCGCCGGATTTGGCACGAGACGTTATGCGCAGGAAACTTGAGGATCTGTACGACGAAACCCAGAATTCACTCAAAATTGAACACCTCATGAGGCTGTTCGAATTCTGCCAGGAGACATACTTCACTTTTGCTGAAGTGACTTATGAACAAATCAACGGGACTCCGATGGGCTATCCAATCTCCAATTTAATAGAAGAATTGGTCCTGCAAGAGCTGGAAAACGTCGCCTTCACCCAACAAACCCGATCTTTTGGCGTCGTTCGTTGACGACACATTCAATATTGCCAAAAGGAACATGCTGCAAGGTTTTCCTGATCTCCCCAACTCGATCTTCGCAGATATACAATTCACGAGGGCAGAAGAAAGGAATAAGCAGCTACCCTTCCTCGACGTACTCGTCAGACGAACTCCCGACGACAAAATAGAAACAAGGGTCTTTAGGAAGGCGACGAACACTACATAGCTTCTCAGTTTTCATAGCAACCATACGGTGGCTTAAAAACGAAGCTGTGCGAGAACACTGTTCAAGAGAATCCAGACTCACTGCCGTTACCCGGAAGAAAAAGCATGTGAGGCTCGACATCTCCGCGACCAGTTTAGGCGGAATGGTAATCCTAAGGCCTTCATAAGCTGATGCGTACGTGCTCGCCCTCCGAGGACTTAAAAAGAAACAATCCTTACGATTTGGCATGCGCTGCCATACATCAAGGATGTGTCGGAAGCAACTGAACGCATTGCCGCGAGACTGGGCGTCGGGATTGCACACCGTCCCAAGGCTACAATGCGCACCCGTGTCATGAGAAACAAGGATCGATTGAATACCAATGAGCAGTCGACGTAGTGTATCTCAAATTGTATCTTTAAACTGTCCCAAAAATTACACGGGACAGACTGGACGCAAGCCGGTTTCGTGCATACACGAACCTAAGCTGGTTTTTCGACGGGGTGACACATTATCGCAAATGGTGGTCCACACCTACGAGACGGGTCACGAGTCCAACTTCGCAGCCGCGAGGATAATTGCCCACGCTGGCAGCAATATGGGCCGAGAACTGATTAAAGCCTGGGCGTCGGGTGACAACTCAGTTAACCGATGTATCGAGCTGGCGCCCGCATATATTGTCCTGCGAAGGTATCTGCAGACGCGCGTCACTGGTGGTTAATTGGTCCCCTCCCCCTCCTTCCCGTCTTCTATGACGTTTAATTGACCCTTCTTATAAATGTTGCTTGTTTTCGTTGACGATTTTATTTCTGTAAATATTCCCACCCAACACGCCGATCTCACCTACTTGCGCAGACTGACATAGTCCGCAGTGACCAATCAGCGCCCACACCAGACAATTTTTGGTTTTCTAAACGTTCAAACGTTTGTTTTGTACACACGCCCTGAGTAGTCCCCCTCCATCTGTTGCTGTTTCCTATCTCTGACGATGGATTTCTGTAGAAGTTCCAAAGCTCAGACTAATAAAACTATGATTCCGGTGATCGACACAGCTTCTTCTTAATCCATATACGTACCTGGGATGCGAACCTTTGCTTCAATTCGTGAGTTCCGAAAAGGCCTGTCTTCATATCCTTGCCCTTTAAGGGCGACAACATTTTGAATACTATCAAGAGACGTTAACTTAGCATTATTGAAAGGAAATATTTTGCTGCTGAAATCATATTCTGCACTCTAACAAGGCCCCTACTAATTCCATGTGCGAAGGATGCCTTGCCGGTAAACGCCATTTCAAACTGTGCCCACGAATTTACATGCACTTGCAGATGCAAGTACATAGGGCAAACGCGATGACAACTGGCAGCCAGGGCTAAGGAGCACTTGCCTAGTTGGCTATTGAAACAAGAAAATAGAACTCCTCGTACACCTATTACTGAACATCTGCTAGATACGAGTCATTATGCGGACCATAAAACATCTTTCCGAGTACTTGTTCGGACACGAGAAACTCGTACCTTACGCTACCTAGAGGAAGCCTATAAACGACGGTTTAAACCCGACCTAGGTAAGTAGCTAGAGCATGTGGTGGACCTTACTTTGCCGTGGTAACAGCGGCTCCCTGATTACACATTTTCCTTCCCAAATTTTTGCATCAGACGTTTGTTTCCCACGTTTACTGCCCACATTGTTTTAACTTGCTTAGGTTATTGATTAGCCTTATTGGCCATTTCCTATGGCCTTCCTGTTTGCATAGTTTTTCTGTGCGAATTAAATTTTTTTATTTTCTCTCACGTTATTCACGTTATGCAACGAGAGGAAGCAGCTGATGAGTTCTCTTGAAATTTATGGATCCAATAAATACTGCTGTTTACGCTATCTTCAAATTTGTATCGGGGAGAAGATGCCCTTAATTAATGCAGGGTAGTCAGAAAGGAACTCCGAAGGACACAATACATCAATCTTAACGGTTTCGGACACCTTAATCTCAACATATACGATTTGATGACTGCAGAGAAGAAACAGTGTCCGTTCGACTACTTGGTCGTAGAGGTAATAAGGAAATCGGTGATCATCATCAACAGGAGACGGCCACACCCTTAATCGAAAATTCCATGCCACTTCCGCCTGACAAACCACCCAATACCGAACAGGAGAACAACGCCATCTGTACTCATAACTTGCTGATACCGTAGTCGCCGGCTT